TCTCTTTCTCTCTCTCTCTCTCTCTCTCTCTCTCTCTCTCTCTCTCTCTCTCTCTCTTGTGCGAGCTCTAAGTCTCATTGATTTGGCTACCTTAGGGTTGCGTTCCCCGCGCCCACGCGGTAGACAATCGTCTAGCGCCACTTTCCATTTTTGGCATGTCGACGAAGCCGATTCGATTTTTTTTTGGTGGTAGAGGGCCTCAGCGGGGGCGGGAAATGGAGGAGGGACTGGTGCAGCGGGCCGTGTGCGGACGACCAAAAGGGTCGGACACTGGCGGACCGCTGGAGGTCGGCGGGAAATTTGGGGGTTGGGCGACGCCCGATTTCCTTTTCCGGCAAGGGCATTGAGATCGCCAGGGGGAGGATGAGAAGTGGGGGCAAGAGGGCGGGTAAGGCCGTCGAGAATCAAGGCAAGGCCTTCTAAAAATAAAAATAAAAATAAAAAAAATCAAGGCAAGGGGGCGACGGGACGGTCGGTAATGGGACGGTGTCGGCGCGAATACCCTTACAAGGGTATCCGCCCTGGTTTTTGCAAGCGACAAAAAATAGTTCTGGTTCAAAGTTTAAGTATACCGCGCTAGGCGCAGCCGCGTCTGTATTTTGCGTTGACTGGATGATTGATTAGAGTAAAGAGTGTGTGGGCGCATAGACTTGAGGCGCGCGTGATCCGTTTTTATTGTTGATGATTGGGGAATCGGCGTGATTGCCGACCAGATTTTTATTTTTCGATTAAACTAGGGATTAAAAAGATTGTCCCACCGATTAATGTGTTTGCCGGGGACTTGCGTGTACGTACGGAGCACCCACCGATTAATGTGTTTGCCGGGGTCTTGCGTGTACGTACGGAGCACGACGCCGACAACGGTATGGTTCGGTATAGTCGCGAGGTGTGCGCGAAAGGTTGATTTGGCTGGTGAGGGCCCCTTGTCGGGGACCGACTTGTTATTCGTGGGTTTCAGGATATTCGGGATGCTAGCGGAACTTATCCATTCCACCGTTGTGAGGGTACATGGGCCGAGGGGCACTGCTCACCCCCCGAAGTCCGCGGCGGAGAGGCTGAGTAAGAGTATGCCCGCGGGACTCTCCTCCGCCTCGGACCTTAAAGTCTGCATTTGAATAGTCGCTATTGCCGCTAAGGGCATACGGGACCCTGTCCATCAGGGCCACGCTTAGGCTTTGTAGCGGACCGAGTCTTAGTTCCGCGGCCAGCTATTTCAGAAAGAGTTTGGCCGCTGGGGACCCGAGGGGGCAGCGGGCTTCACAGGGGTAAGCGGTGCGGAAGAGGCCGTAGCGGCAGCCTGCCGAATAGAGCTGGGTGCATAGACGAGTGGGGGCAATAGGCGGCGGGGCTGTTCCGGTGGGCAGCGGACGGGGCAATGACGCAGTGGGAGGAACACGGAGACAGACAGGGAAGGGGTGAAAACGAGAAGGAACCGGAGCGGGGTGGCGCGCTAGGTGCGTGCATGGAGGGGAGGAGCGCTAGGGGTGACGGGGGCTGAGGCGGAAGCAGCGAGCGGATGACCGGGAGCCAGGACAGTGGGGTGGCGGAGGTAGGAGTAGCCCGGGTGAACCTGGCCCGGATCTCCGCCCGGGTGCATTCGAAGCAAAAGGGCGGAGCGACAGTGCAGTAGAACTGGGCGTTAAGGAGGTGGGGGCAGCGAATGGACCGGGACGCAAAGGGGCCCGGGTACAGTCGACGTGGGGGAGAACTGGAGATGGCGGAGGGAGGAGTCAGGTGCAGTCGGGGGGGGGGGTAGAGCGCTCTCGATCCTAAGTGGAATCGAGAGGGAGAAGACATGATCCCGGGGTTTTGGCCTGTAACGGATCCAACGGTAAGGTTAGTTTTAGTAGTAAGTTAGCAAGTTAGGTGTTAGAAGAGAAAGAGGGTCGCGATGAGCTATGGTGGAAGAGCGGACGACGGGAGGAAGAAATCGGGGTGCCACTCGATTCTCAATGGAATCGAGTGGGGTAGAGGTCTGGTTGGGGGCTATCTGATGGGGCGATTTTGATGGTATTGTTAGCTTTTGGGTTAGTTGAATAAGTTTAGAGTCAGGCAGAAGAAACACTGTGTGGAGTTACGGGGAAGCAAGCATGGCGGAGGAGGAGAAAGAAAAATGAAAAAGTGTCTGGCCCGCCCGTTTCTGAGCGAAATAGGGCGGGAAGAGAAGCAAGACAGAGGTTATTGGGTAGGGCGAATCCGGATGGGAAGTTAGTTTTAGATGAAAATTAGTAGAAATAGAGGTGGGAGAAAAAAGGGGTGCGCGACGATGGAGGGAGACCGAAAATGACAGAGAAGAAAAACTGTTATCTCGTTCATTTCTTGACAGAAACTGACGAGTAAAGGTGCAAAATGGGGGGTTTGATGGACTACGGAGAGATTGGCCGTGTCGGATTTCGGTTTCGAGCAGTAGTTTGGCCAGGGTGACTAGGAGAGGCTGCGCCCAGGGGCAAGTGGTTTTTGTTTTTTTTTATTGTGTAAAAATGTAATGTATCTATCCGTGTTTTAGGGGGAAGTTCAGCCTGAATTTGGATGTTTGGTAAGCCCGGCAGTGGGCACAGAATGGGCCGCACCGCCTGGAGTAGAGAAAAGGGGGCAGGAGGCTTACCGTTGGAATTGAGTGAACTGGGCCTTATTGACGGTCAAGTGCGCCCAGGTATCCGGGTGTGTTAGAGAGAGAGAGAGAGAAAGAGAGAGAGCTTACCTTTGAAGTGGCGATACGGTACGAACCAGGGGGGGGATTTCGAGCGCTGTATCTCTCCTTGGTCAGCGGGAGATTCATTTCAAAGTTGTATATTTTGTCGATTGGGGAAAGCAGCCGGATGAACTGACAGCTGAGCTACAGTGCCAAACTGCATGCTAGCTAAGTAAACCGTTCGTGGTAAGCAGGACTGGCGACGCGGGAAGGATCGAAAGACGGGCCGTGGGCGCCTACCAAGATCACGAGCATGGTTGGAGTTGGCCATGATGCCTGTTATGCAGTACAGTATGAGGGAGCTGCCTGTGTCTTCGATTGGGCGGGTGTTGTTCGCAGCCGACCAAATGAGGCGGAAGAGGCGGATGGCAATGGCCTCAATGGCCTACTCGTACTTTGTTAAGTGTTGTTGAAAAGAGAAGCTGCCGGATGGCAACACCGCTGTTTACCTC